TCAGGTTTTATGTCTGTATTTCAAAAGGCTATTGAGAAACTGGCTGAGTGTTGGAGAAGATCTGAGTGAGAGTTACTTGAGTTCTGGAAAGCTTGGCTTAAAGAAACTTACAGTTTAACTGTGGTATGTAGTTTATCCAAGATCAGTTGGATCCAAGATCAGGAAATCAAGGTCACCCACAAGACCAAGACGTCTCTGAGAGACTGATGTTTAATCAAGTATAAAGAGATTGGAAGCTGAAGCTAGATATATTCAGACGAGAAGCAAAACACATGTGAAAGTGATAACCATTGGAACAGATTCGTGGGAATATGGAGGTTTTCTTTTGACACCTCTAGGTCAAACTTGGATATCTGTCTTAAAGATACACTATCATTTAACCAAAGGTTACGGGCTTGAGACACATTTAGTAGAAGAAATCCTTTAAGCTGTGTTATATGGGAGGTCAGATTAGATGATCGTGATGAATCTGTGCAAAAGTTTTCTCTCCATGCTAGCTGCCCACATGTGTTTTTTTATCAGTCTTTTCCCTTTACAAGTGAAACAATGAGTGGGATTTTCAGTGTGGGAGGAGTTGTGCCAAAGATGGGTTTTGTAACAGATTTCTACATGTGAGTAGATTTGAACTTTCTTTACTTTTAACCTTTTCCAAGCCCTTTCACTAGTTTTTGATGCTTTGTCTCCTCCCCACTAAATGATTTTTTTCCTGCAAAATCCCCACTGAAACTACTTTTGTGGCCTCTTTTAGCTAATTAAAGGAATATTTCATGCAGACTTGTGAATGTTCAGGATGCTCTTGCCCCTTCTCCACCCTTTTTCCAGCGCTGTTGTTCCTCATATCTGAAGAAGCTTCTAGATTCCTGATGGCTTTCAAACTTGCAATCAAAAATTTTTAAGAGTGATGTTTATGCACAGCACTACATAAATGCTGAGTAATAATATAGCTGCCAGTCAAGATGATTTAGCTCCATTCATGAGCCCAAACTCATTTAACAATGGCTTATACTTGCTTTGACTGGCTGTAATGAACAGCCTGTGAGTACGATTGTCTACCATAAAATAAAAGGATGTCTTTTCTGAAACTCAGAAAGGTAGCATCTCTAATAGTTTTTTGACTTTCATACGTACTTTCTGAAATGTGCTTTTCTCTTTAAATTGTCTTTTGAGTGCTATGTCTGTAATTGCTTTGTTCCATCAACAAGGAATCTCACATCATTTTGGTGAGTGGCATCCTTAAAGGATGTGACACACAGAGTCAGATTTTCTTGGGCTGAGCTAAAGGTGGGCTGTTCTATGTAAGGTCAGCCACCGTTGTATGAAAACTAAATGAACTGTAAAACAATGCTTAAAAAACAGATAATGATTCTCATTTTAAATTCTCTAGCAGAAAACAGTTACTGAGAAAGCAGTTCAGAGTTTTTCTGTGATGCTACCAAGCTCACCTAATCTATCTTAGTTTCTCCACTTCATAATGAAATTACCTTCTTATCTTTGTAAAGTGTAACCAGAGTGGATCTTTGTAAAATGAACCCATATAATTTCCATCATTAATTTACACAGTTTACCTAGTTTTCCTGATGCTGTTCTAAATGTATTCAACCTTGAAATGAGAAATGAGCCTGGATCTGTATTCCTGTAGTTCTGCAATTGTCACCTTAATTTCACTGGAGTAAATGGAGAATAGCATTGTTTGTACTGCTGTTGCTGTACTGGTTGAAAATTGGCATGAGTGAGATCAAAATTCAGACCTATGCATCCTTTTTGAAGTTTGAAATCCAAATGTAAACTTTTCTCAAGTCCAGGTGCTTTGATTCAGCTCAGTGTAGGTTTTTGGCTTGAACCTTACTTGGGTTTGAAACTGTGCCTGTTCATTGCTAGTTAAATGGGATGAGGTGACTGTAGTTGGCCTGATCCAATTTAGCTGGTAACACATTAATATTTTAGAAAAAGCTGGAATGCTTGTCTTGCATTTATATTTGTTGAAGCTCGTGACTGTCCTCTCCAGAAGGAAGAAGTAATGATGAGATAGAAGACGCTGCCGGAGTTATGACCATATGAAAAGTCCCAGCAAGAATACTGTAAGGGAGGGCTTGTCTTTAAACTCATAGCAGATGCAAAGGCTCAACACTGTCCGGTTTGTGGCTTGGTATGCAGGATGAAAGAGAGAGAGAGAAGTTAACAGATAGCTAGAGAAATACAGTAAATAACTCTCAAAGGGAAACCAAGCAAAGAAACTTCTTTGTGTATTGTGGAAATGTGGAAATTGTGGAAGGAACCTACCTCTGTCTGTCTTGGTCTTCTGTGCTCCTGTCACTTGTGAAAGGAAAGCAAGATCATGTGTAGGGCAATCATGCTTACTTATGCATAGCTGGCAGTTATTGGTCAATATATCCTCTTAAAAATAACCCCAAAAGGCCTTGAGTATCAACGCAATGTTTGGACAAAGAGGCAACAGTTTTTAAATATAGAACTTTTGTAGGGATGTGCGTGTTATGTTTCCTAGGGTGAACAGACCCAAACCCAACCTCTAAAAATGTTACTTTTTTATGGAGGGGTGGAGGAAAGGAAGAGATGTTGGCTTTCAGGTTGCTGTTATTTTTTGACTATCTGATTTTTCTCTCTTCTTGTTCTTTTCACATAATTACGATCCAGTTCTGTTCCCTTTGGAATTCATGGCAGCATTCCCACTGACAGCAGTGGGATGGAGGTGTTTTTGGCTCTGGGCATTTTAATCCTGATGTCCTGGCAAAATTCCAATACATGTAATTATGTTCTGGCAAGCTGAATTCTACCTTTATTAATTTTATTATTATTTGTGTTTGCACAGCACCTAGAAATTCTAGTTATTCATGATGCTAAGAACTTTACTATCACGGAAGAATTGTTTGTGCCCATTGCTCTGGAATTATTTTGCCTGAAAGATGGACACCTGGAAGACGGCATTCAGTTTTTCCTTAGTAGGTGAAATGAAGTCCTAACTGCAAGTAATCTTTTACAGAAAGCCATGGAGGCACATTTTCACATTTTCAGATTGTGTCTGTATTGTGCTATGATTTGCGCTATAGAGATACTTGTGGTAGCCAGTAGTTTAGCAGTGTGGCTTCCATAGACTCAGGAATATGCACTGTGGATGTACTTATCATTGAAATTTGCTTTTAAAAAAAAACAGCACCAAGAAAAAATAAAGAAGCAAAAAAAAAAAAAAAAAAAACCCCCCCCCCCCCCCCTAATGGTGAGAGCAGGGATTATATTCTTGGTGATATGTTGCATACTTCTGTCTTTCGATTTCTAAGCAATTACGGTTACAGAAAGGAAAATGTTTTTCTGATTTCAGCAATAAAATTGCTGAAATTACTGCAAAGTGCTGAATAGAGCTGTGGAGAAATTATTAAGGACTTTGTCAATATGAATTTTCCTTTCTCTTCCATCACAGGGATGTTTCAGACTGTTAAATAAATTTAAAGTGCAAAATTTGCAATGACTGAGGCTGTTATGAATTGCTATGCTATTAGCAACCAGGCAACAACCATAGTAACTACCATTCTCTAGTGGTTTTTCTTGAATCTAAACAAGAGATTTTTCGTTTAAACTCGTATATACACAAACACCAGGATCAATATATTGTTTTTCTAATCTATTTTTTTCAATGCAAATACTCTATAGATCATATTTGTGTATCACAAAGATGTTTACTAGGCTTGACAGGCTTAAAATAGGCCAGTGAATTCCCTCCAGATGGACAGAAGTCAACCCACCCTCCTGAAGCCTCGGTGACTACTTAGGAAGTGTCTTGGCGTTTCTGGCCTTACCTTAACCATACTTCCAGGGAATGTGATTTATAGGATGCGTTGAGCCAGAACCCTCAGAGAAAGTAGTAATATTTTTAGCAGTATATTCTGTTATGCTAATCGAGCTGAATTAAGCTGAAAAAAACTGGGGTTGTAAAAAATCATGGATTTGAATCATTACTAGATGATATGGCCTTTTCAATCTAGCTTGTACTATTTATACTATATTTAGGTTAAAAAATTATATATCCTTTTATATAAAAATAATTATTTTTGTAAATGTAATGTTAGAAATGGGCATGTGACTGAGCTGGTAGCGCCTGTTCTTGTGACGTGAACATCATAGGAGACTTGTAATGATACCAGTGTTGCTACACTACAGAGAGGTGTTTCACTGCCAGAGATGTTGCCTTTTAGCATCACAGGGGCACTGTCAGAGTAGAAAACAAAATACCTCAGGCTAAAAATTTGCTGGTTAGGAATGCAGGCATATGCTAGTATAATCTGTATGAGGCATTTATGATTTTATCTGTATAAATACGCTTGCTTGCTGTTGTCTCTCTGTTACTAGGGTTAAGTGTCATAAAACTTGTGTTGATGTGTCTGAATATGTATCTCTTAGGCAGATCAAGTAAGCTGTGTTTAACCCTATCAGAGCTTTGAAGGAAAAAACAATCACTTCTTTGTTACCTGAGACTTCTGTAGCTTCTCTTCTTCCAACAGATACGTATGTGAAATATCCCATATTTCGTCGTGCCCGCATCCTTGACTGAAGAATGGGTGTATAGTATGCATTGAAATCTCAACTAGTAAAGCAATCCAAAATTTTGCAGCTTCACTTCTTAAAAAGAAATAAAAATAAGTCCAGTTATTTTAGAAAGTTCTAAAAGTGACTTTTATCAACATACTTTCAAAGAAAATATTGTATTTTTAGTACAGTATGTAGAGTTTACTAAACCAAACATTATTTTACTGAATCAGAGGTGTTCATGTTATATAAAAGATATGGTCTGGGTACATTTCAGAGATACATGCATGTGATCACAGCAAATATATAGTCTTTTTGGTCTGTTATCAGCATATTATTAAACAGAACTGGTTTCTGATTGAATAGCCAATGATTATTTATCTGAATATAAAGTATGATGGAAAACATGAGTTGTAGTCATTACTGTGTTTCTGACTGCTTCACTCTGTTCTTTTTAATTTAAGGTTGCCTTTGCCTCCTGGAGCGTTCTCAGGCCTTTGGAAAAATCAGGAAACATTCCAGAAGTTATATTTCCAAAAATTTCCAGTAAGAATTACAAAATGAATTATATAAACTTTTGGTAGTCCTGCAGAACTTAATGATAGTAGTTTTAAACTGGATAACATACAAAATTACCATATATTATTTTAATGGGAGACTTTGATATATGTGTTATACAATTAAAAACATTTCAAGGTAAAACTTTCTTCATACATACTTTAAGATTTTGGGCACACTCCTTTTTTTTTTTTTTTTTTTTTTCCAAGACCTATAGTCTTGGAAGTAGAAGTAAACCTCCAGCTTCTGAACATAAAATTAATTTGATCTAATAAAAGATATGTCTCGTAACCTTAGACTAGCATAGCTTCAAATATACTACTGCTGTGCAGTCATTCTAACTTAGTCCAAAATATACACTTGTCCACTGTGCATGTAAATACATCGGAGGCTCCTTACTGAATTATTTATGTTTCCTTGACAAATGAATTACCCAAGGACTGGCTTCCTCCTTTCTTTATAGAAATAGATTGATTGGTCCTATGTGGATGTCCAAAATGGAAGGTTTAGTTCAATAAAAGTAAATGAGTGAATTGATCAGGCAAATTGTTATTTGTGTGCACTTGCATCACAATGGTGATGATGTCTGTTTGGATCCAGCAGACAGGAATACCTTTCGGGGCAATTTGACAACTGTCATTGTATTGTAACAACTCCATTCTCCTTGTGTAGATTCAGGCAACATCCTTCTCCAAGCTGTCAGGGGTCAAAGAAAGCAGAGTGGGGAAAAAATCCAGGTTTATGGATTGTCTTCTGTCTTAACAAAGACTACAAAACCTTTTCTGGAGAGAGATCTGCACAGTATATTATGACATAAGAATGCTGAAAAATATTACAGAATTAAATCTCTCACACACCAAAAACATATTTCACTTGAAACCATCAGTTTTGTTTGTTGGTTTCACAGGAAATGGATGGATGTTCCTAGTACTATTTCTGAGTTTATTTTTGGTTGTCTAGGGATATTATGATACTATGGATGCAGGTTACATGGATGAAGATGGCTATTTATATGTCCTGTCTCGAGCTGATGATGTGATCAATGTTGCTGGACACAGAATTTCAGCAGGCGCAATTGAAGAGGTGAGCATTGCCTGAGCGTAAAATAGCAGAGTGAAAGATAAATAAAGCAAGCTGAGACTGAAAATCTCACAAAATCTCTCTTTTTTTTTTTTCCCCCCTGCTTTTTTTGATTGCATGTGTTGATGCTTTTAACAAAAATATCAATTGTTTCAGGTCCTTCCTATTGAGGTACTTTCCAGGACCATAATAAACTTAGTCAATAATAATAAGTTTGTACCATGAGGCTGATAAAACAGGCATGATTTGACATTTAAAAGTGGAGTTAAGGGGCGCTATGGTATCATGGGAAGCATTCCTATAAGCTCTGATAACATATTTATTTGGGAATATATTAAGATAATGTAGGGTCTGTATACCAGGTAGTTTCACCAGCTACTGCACTTTCTTAGTAGAAACTTTTATTCCTAAAATACAGTTTTTGGTTCACATAGACTCACATTCAGTCCTTTTTCTTGATTTGAAGAGTTTCCTTCACAGTTTCTTGAGAGCTGTTTTGTCTCTTATTGTATGAGCAGTGCTAAATGAACAATGAAAATTTCTGTAAAACAACCCTGCTGTTAAATTGAAAGTCATTAACGTAATACCCATGCAACTCAAAAAGTTGAAAATAGTGCAGTTCATAATACTATCTGAATTTCATATCATTGTTCACTCACCTCTCTGGAACCACTGTGATTGATTGCCAGTTACAAATTTCCCTGATGACATATCAATTGCTTATTCAGGGAGTATAGGAAAAGGTGTGCTGGGCATGTATGAGGGAAAAATACTCTCTGAAGAACTTTGAATTTAACTGTTCACTGAATCACAAACTAATCTGTTAGTAATTTTTTGCTTTATAATGTCTATTAGTTTAGTGACTTTTTTTAAAGGCTAGAAAACTTAAAAGAGAATAGAAGAAATTCTGATTACAGAGGAGTAAACAGATAGGCAATCTTTCAAGGCTCAGTCAGCCAGGGAGCTGAACCAGTCGCTGCCCTGGCTTGGGTCTATGAAGCCCTGAAGGTGGCTCTCCGTCCACTTAAACCTCGTTCCCTTTGAAGTCAGTTTTTTGTATTGTTCCGCTAAAGCCCAGCAGGGAGTCTCATCCCCAACCTGTACTGCTGTGCTGCTCAAGAGCTGAGCTGGGCATTGTTTCTTTGCTTCAGGCTGAATCTGAAGCTAGTATAATAAATGATGAATTGAGTCACCCCCTCAGCTGTATTATCTTTGTATCCATCCTCCTGAGCTCAGTGTCTCTGTTTTTCTCCCTGCTAGTTAGGTCTTTCCGCTAGAAACAAAAACATGTTCCCTCACTGTGAAGTTCTAAAAGCTCTTCTATTCACCTTTTGAACAAAGCTAAAAACCAAGAGTGTTGTTAATGCATGCACAGCAAATTGCTAGTTAAATGGGAAAGCATTAACAAGACCACAATTAGCTCTTCAGTAAGATCAGTAAATACAGAATTAGAGGTTCATTGAGTCGCCATCTAATTAAGTGACAGTCACCTTGTTGAGCAAATATATTATCTGCATTTACATTATAGCTGCATTACAAGCTTAACAAGTTTTTCCTTAGTGCTTCGACTAAGAATTTCAGCTTCATTACGTTCCACACAATTAGTTTCTTTGTCTAAGTTATCTATTAGTATCATTGGGGCTCTGGCTTCCCTGCAGTGCAGAAGGTGTTACTGTTTACCTTGCCAATCAGCGAATGTTAACCTCACTTTGTGTTGATCCATCTATCTCTTTTGTCTGTACATCTATGGTGTCCCTGCTTGCCTTGGCTGTATCTGAAAAAGCCCAAATCAAATCTTGCCTATCTGAGGGAACAGACTTGAAATTGAAAAATTTAGCATGAGAAATGCCCTTCCTGATGGTGGGGTTTCTGTCTGCTGCTGCATTAGATGTCCATCCTTGTGCCCAGTGATCATTCCAGGAATGCCATTTCACTTTCTTGAGGTTTTTTTCTTACTTTTTAAAAAAATTTAAATGCCTAGTGCCGATTCTGTTCTTTTCAGCTGTTTTACAAAGTTCAATAATTTTAAAATTCATATTTAGATTTTCAGTCATTTGAAATTAGCTGGCCCAAAGTCAAAGGCATGTTGGTAGGATTTTGGATAGAGTAGTGAAGAAAAATATTACAGTGACTGCAGTATTCCAGCTTAACATAAGACTTCCATGAAAAACTGACAGACTGGAATGATAGAAACAAGCCATTACAAAACAAGCTGGCAACACTTCAGTCTCCACCGTAGGGATCCTGTTGATGCGTGGTAGGTAACTATGGTGTTGATGGTAATGTCAGATTACTGCAGACTATTTTGTCTATGTTTTTGAGGAAAGCACAGTTCTCTGGGCGTAGACCTTACTAATCTGCTTTTACATAATTCATTGCATTTTCTTCTTTTTCTTTTTTTTTTTTTTCCTATGGCAATCAAGTTTCTGCGGTCAGGGTCAAGAAGTCAGAACAAGAAAGAATGTGTATTTATAGCAGGAAATGCAATGCATTATTGAGGCTCTGCACTAGAAGTGACAGAAGCTCATAGGTGTATGTGATGCATTGAAATACCATGGAGATTTGGAGTTGTGTAAAGTTCATTCCTGTATGATTTGTCAGTTTGGATACAATGACTTCTGGACAAAGTACACTGCATCTGAATTCAAATGCACTTGCGTATATTTAGCTTCAGCATTTTTACAGCAGGCTCTTCTGCCCTTCTAGTTCTGGGACGAGCCCAGCCAGAACAAACTCCAGGCTGTTGCATTTGCTGTTCTAGAAACGGCTTTTGCACATCCCATTTCATTACTGTGAAAAATCTACAGTTTCAAAAGGTGTGTGTAAATGGTCATGCTTTTGTACTTTGATAGAGCATGCTTCTAATATTAAGCCTAAGTATTTCCCATTTGCTTTTTTGTAGCATGGGACATTTCTGCGATGATAGTTTGTGAAGTGAGTATAGCTTTTTTCAAACAAACTATGCAAGAAACACTTTGTGCAGATTTATTTTGCTAAAAGCTACTTGGTCTGTGTTGTAGTGACCATGTGGTGTTCCTACTTAAAAAAAAAAATAAAACCACCAAAAAGCCTTTATTCTTAAAGCTTCTTTTAGTCTTCCTTTCAGTCATTGCACTGCCTTTGATTTTGACAACACAGTATGTGAAGATCTGTTATTGGCAAACATACAGTCCTTGTATGCACAAATAATTTAATATGCACAATCACATTATGTGATCTCTGTGTGGCCTTTGTGTAGGGTCATGTTATGTCCTTTTTGTGGTTGAGTACAGAGGACATGTTGAAAGCACTGTTGACAGCAAGACGCCCCAAGGGACACTGATAACTACATGAAAAGAGCCAGTTGCTTTGGAAGAGGATTGACAACAGCTGGTATTTTAAGTCCAGTTTTGTCCCAGACTTAGTGACACACTTCTCCGTATGTTCGAGACATCTTGGTGACTTTTTTCCAGGAAGTGGGAACTTCAGCTAATTGGAACGAAGAGAGAATCTCTCTCTTTTTTTTCCTAAAAGAGAGATATTAGTGCTGCTGTCCATGACTTGTATAATTGTATAAATGTGTAGTAGGAAGGAGGGGACTCTGGTTTAATTCCCTTTTTTTTGTCTAAGGAGGCTGAGACCTAATGTTTCCGAGAGAGTCAGCTGAACAATCTTGGCTGGCTACAAGCTGAGGTTGGGCCTGTAGTTGGTTTTGGTTGAACCTATGCCTTTGTGCAGCACAGAATGAAAAAGATGAAGGACCCAGAGAGAATGAACTAATACGACTATAGCCCTATAGCAAGAGTGCTTCTGTGGTTTTGGTCCTTACTCCATGCACTTAACGCCATGTTATTTGTAATGTTAGACTAATGTTATTTGTTCCAGCAAAGATCTCACTAACAAAAACAAAGATGTGATACTTGCCCAAAGCTGTAAGGAAATCACCTTTGCTTTGTTCTATATTTGTATATTGTGCTTCTGTATTTTTTTCCTTATGTTTGTTTGAAAACTACACCTAAGCATGTATGAAAGTATACACACGTGCACCTGCAACATGTGTAACTGGAATCCTGAGGTGTACTGACTAAATACTTTTTGCTGTCAAAATGTAAGAAATTAGTCTATTTTTTATGTGCATGCCTATGGATTTTTCTCACTGAAATGTTCAGTTATTATTAGTTCAGTGTAGTTTTGTTTTCCATCCCTCAGTGTGTTCTGTTCCATCACGCTGTGGCAGACTGTGCTGTTGTGGGCCAGGAGGATCCTTTGAAAGGACACGTTCCATTTGCGCTGTGCGTACTGAGAGAAGGTGAGATCTCACTGCTACTAATGTTACTGAGACTTGCACAAGTCCCAGAGAGGTTAAAGGATATGAACTTCTTCACTAGGAATAAAGACAGAAGAAGAGAAGATTTTGGAAGAGATTGTTGAGCGAGTTAGAACTAACATTGGTCCAGTAGCGGCTTTCCAGAAGGGGGTGTTTGTGAAACAGCTACCAAAAACACGCTCTGGCAAGATACCACGTTCAGCTCTTTCTGCACTTGTCAGTGGAAAGCCATATAAGGTAAGCTGGAGATGTGTGTGCTTTAATGAATTAGGCACACGTGCACATCCAAAGACACAACATCATGGTTTCGATTCTCTAGACCATTCTGCAACTGGTCCCTGACTTCATGGTAGTACATTGTATTTTATTTCTACGGTAGCTTACCCAAAAGATTTGCATGTTCCAGAGCTTTCCAGATACTTTTTTCTTGATTGCTTTTGAAGGCTAGATTTAGGAGATTATCTGAATAAAATTCAGTTTTACTGTTGAAGGACCACAATCTATCATACTATCATACGCTTCTGTGTATTCTTCCTTTGCAGATAACACCGACCATTGAAGATGCTAGCGTGTTTAAACACATTGAGGAAGTGCTAAAGAAAAAGTAAATGAGATAATATGTTGATAACAAACATGTCAATTACTGAAGTATACAAAGACACTTTCTGTTAGGAAACACCACCTTTTGAAAACTAGTAATGATTTGGGACTAATTTTTTTTTTTTTACTTTATAAGTGTTTCTGTGTTCTTTATCATATTGTAACAGCCAATGAAGCCTACTAAAGTCTCTGCTTGCTGTCATTATATGCTGGATATTAAGGTTGCTAAGAATTGCAACTAGAATTTGTACATTTCTATAGCCTTAAAGGGAAGGAGTTACTGGATTATCTATGTCATATGATGTCATGTAGCCTTACATTTCAATCCATTATTGTATAATGTGACCAGTAATTTGAGTTAGGCTAAAACAAAAGGTAAGTCATGAACTGAAGACAGCAATAAAAAGGAATTCTAATGTGAACATCATTGCAGATGTATTTGTCCTTATTGTAAATTATGATCCTTTGTCTTTTAAATTTTTATAAATTTTAAAATTACCTTTCTTGATTCCACTGATATTTTTTTCCTAAGTCTTTTTAATAAACTAGGTTCCTATAATTTATTTACTCAATAACTTTCTGAAGTGCCTTTTTTGTAGAATGATAGATAATTTCTGGCTTTCAAATCTGTGAAAATCTTGATTTGTCCATAGTAATATTGAATACAGGCTATGGATTTTAAATAAAGGCAGGCATTTACCCTTTGCATTTTCTGATAATTTTGTTGTTATGGTTTGTGTCACTTATGATAAGGATAACCAGACTGTGCTTTGGCTGACATAATTAGACATTTCAGGCTCACTGAGATATATATAACCAAGGATTTTAGCAAATACAGATACTAGGCAGCCCATTCTTGACTTTAAAGGCCATTTCAAAATATTTACATGGTTCTCAGCAAACCAGGGGATGGAGGATACACTTCTACATGCATTACTTCTCAAGCTGTAGGCTTTTAATTGAACAATAAATGTAAATATCCTTTTTAAAATATACATTCACAGAAAAGTTTAAAAGCAGAGAAGTTACTCAAACTTTTCAATGCTTTCCAGAGGAAGAAACGGTAAGCAATACACAAATTTAGATGATGTTGGTATAGAAGAGAGGTTCCATACTTAGGCTAAGCTAAGGTAGAAGTTAAGCCTAGATATATTTTGCTATGGCCATGTGTCCTCAAAAGAGTCCCAAAATACTGTTATCTGCTGTGGTGTAGAGGTAAGGACGATAGCCCTGTTAAGAGATAAGCCAGAAGACTGATGTAGGAGCTAAAAGGTGATAGATAGATGCTAATTAACATGAGCCATACCCCGATGTTGCTTTGTGCCTGTGACTTTTTTGTAGAGTCAATGAGCTCTACCAGTTACTTAGGAAATAAATAAAATGTCGGTGTGGGTTGGTTTTTTTTTTTCACTAGGGACTGCCTGCAGCTGTGAGCCAACTGTGTTGAACCAGGTCATACAGTCATATAATAAAACAGCCTAGTTTGAGTCTGTGCTGTACTTGGTTTTTTGCCAAATAATTGCATAAGGTAGCCATCCTGCTCAGCTATTTGATTTAGTTGAAAATCACAATCTTAACAGGGAGTAAAAGCATTTAAAGACTGAGTAAAGGCTAATGATCCTTTATGGTAGATATGCTAACTACACAGGTTAGTGATTTATATGTGGGGGTAATTTTGCTCCTCAGAGATGTCCCGCAAACTTTCTTGAAATAGTTCTTATATAAGTTGAAGTTAGTTGGAGATACTGTTTTCTTCTGGGTGGATTATTCAAGTACCGAGGCTTTAATAGGAGGCCCATGCCAAATAATGGAATACCTTGCAGAGACTGCTGAGTATTTTTCAGTTTCACAGTGCTACAACTTAGCAACGTATGCTGAAGAGCTGCAGAGCAAGAGAGAGATCTTGGGAGTTGTCACTGATGTTTGTGGGTTTTGGTTGGGATTTTTTGTTGTTGTTTTTTGTTTGGTTTTTTTTTTTTTTAAACTGGTGAGAAACTACAAAGGTCTTATCACAGAGAACCTGTGGCACATTCAAAAGGTGCATGCTCATTACTTTTTTGTGCAATGAAAGCTGAGAGGTTAAGTTGTGTATGTTTGCTATAGTTATCCCAGCTGCAGCCATCATGTTGTAATTGCAGAAGCAGGGGAGGGGAACTAATTGGGGAGAGCACAAGCCCTCTAGTAAAGATACTGCAATAGGATGTAGGAGAAGAGAATTAATTTCCTAGATCTTGTATAGTTTTCCCAATGACATCTCACGTTCCTACACCAGTTTCTCCATTTGTAAGGAAAGGCTGCCTGTCTAGTTTGGAGCTCCTTTTTTTTTTAAGGAAGAGAGAATTAATATTGGACATTTTTTTTCCTTTTTTCTTTTAAAAAAAGCCAAGCCAACATTAATAATGGGTGTTTAGGCACTTACCTTTCTGAGGGGCTATTTGTTCATATTAAGATTGACGAGAAACAATTATCTGTCCTCTGAACTGTGAAAAGCTTGAATAGTTAGCATTCTTAAAGTGTCTCTGACAAAACTGTTTGTGATAACTTCTACTTTCAGAGTCTGAGCAATTTTTTAACTTTTCTTTTCTTTCTTTTTTTTTTTTTTTTTCCTGTTTTGGTGGGAATCATTTAAGATCAAGACTGGTATAAAAGAGAGGGGGCAGAGTGCTCAGGTGTATTCACTCTGCTACCACCCTGGTACTTTGGAGGATTCCAGAAATGCCAAATGTCTCTTTCATCAGCATTCAGAAAACCCAGACAGAAAGCCACCTTACTGCAGCAGTACAGTATGGAAAAATAGTTGTTTCACGGGCATTACTGCTGGTTTCCAGAGGAGCCTTTTGCTGAGGAGCTGTGATTGCAGAATGCTTTGTCTACAGCTTTAGCTTTATGCAGAGCTGGAGAAAGGGAGAAAGAGTAGTCATTCTTGTGCACGGCTGCGGTGCTGCCCAGCGGCCTTATTAGATCATCAAGGGAAAACAAGCCCATTTAACACGTGGTAAGAGAACACTGATTTTCTTAATTTTGTTCTTAGAGAGAAGAAGCATCTGGGTAGATTTGAATGGTCAGGGAGTTATTGAAACGTGGCTGGAAGAGGTTGATGTAATAATTATTTCCAGCGTAGTGAAAGTAACAGCCAACTAGCCAACAGTTAGCATAGCCATAGTTTCTAGCTGTTGAGAGCAGAGCTTCAGCTCTTGTGGAGGAGACAGGGATACACTTGGAGATTTTATATGTTAGCCTTAGATTAAAACTGAAGTCACAATAACACTCTTCTAAAAAATATATTTTTAAGTCTCCTGGTCTCTTTTCTTCCATTATGTGGAAGAAAGGATACTTGCAGTTTTGGCTGCAAGATCTTGCTCTTTCTTTCCCCCAACACACCTCATGCCCCTCTGCCCCCTGAATTTGAGTGTGGGCTGTGGCAGTGCAGGCTGCAGAAGGAATTCGGTAAAATGTGAGCTGGCGTTTACGAGGGGAAGTGTATTCGAATGATGCTGCAATCACTGAAAATGTTACTGCGTGACATTCTGGACTAAAATAATCCAAAAAGAGGTTGAGGGAGGAGAATAAAGAACATCAGCAATGAAGTCAGTTAAGCCTGAGGAACTGTACATAAAAAAGCCATGCCTTTATACAGATGCGCGCGAACCCAAGCCATCATATCGCACCCATCAGCAAGTTCAGTGCTCCCTCTCGTGGCAGATTCTGACCAGTAAATCCATTGTAACTCCTACCTGTTAGTGGCAAAACGTGCTTCTGCTTAGCTATGAGAAGTATCTGGCATCCGAACTATTTTAATACTATGTACCAAGCTTAATAGACTTATAAACACAAATAGCACTGAATTCTTTTTTTATTGACATTGGGGGAGAAAAATCTTTCACCATCTGATTGACTGAAGTTTGCCAAATGAAAATAGACAAAACAAATGTTTATGTACGTGCAAACATTGCAGATCAATCTGCTAAAAGAAATAACTAAAAGACAGGTCTTGAGCTAAGATCAAGCAGCAGAAAAATAGCAAATAGGTAAATGACTATTAAGTAGGTCTTACTTTGAAACTTCCCATTTAAACAAAGAATAAACAACAATAACACCACCAAATAAAGCCACAGCAGGTAATAGTTGCTCTTCTAAACTTTTATACACTATATATTAATCACTCTGTCTTTCAGTTATTTCCTCTGATAAAATCGACTTCTGTGAAGTCTCAGCAAGGCCATCTTGGCTAAAAGCATAACGTTAGACAGGAGCCTGTCTAATGCCCTGTTATAATGAAGAAATGGTGGGGTTTGGCTTCTCTTTTCTTTCTTTCTCTTTGTTGAATATGTCTGGAAACAAGAATCTGATTCTATGCGAATATTAGATTTAATTTTCCAATGCTGGCTGGTGTCTGAAGATCCTGGAACGAAAAGGTGGCTCTTGGTAAAGCAAGATTCTTCTTGGTCCGCAGGTAACATAGAAGAAAGTTTTTGTTTTTTTGTATAAATCATGTTTTATTAAATTGCTTTTTTTTTTTTTTTGTGTAAACAGTTCTTCTGGGTTTAATTGTTTGTTTTTAAGAGGTGAGCCATCATGATGCTTCTCTATAGGTATCTGACACTTCCATTTTGTCTTTAGAGGTCCATTTTGGCTCCAGTTCCAGGTTATGTCATTCTATTATACATCATCAGAGGCAGGTGTTCAGCTTTAAATATTGACAGATTTTTCTCAGTAGGAACATGTTGAAGCTTCTAACTCTGCTAAACATATTCATTTGACTGTTACAATCCAAAAACTGTAAAAATGGTGGAATGGAAAGATACAAACAGTATTATTGACACTGTATTGTCAAATGTTTGCACTGAGACCCCATGTACCATAGATTTTATTTTTAAAAAATCATATTTATATCCATTTACATAAGACTTACACATTTTAAAAGAAATACATACACAGTAAATACGTAAATGTCTAGTATTTTACAATAAAACAGATGGAACAATGTAAAAATGAGTGGCTTCATTTGATAAAAGCTTTGGATGTGCACTACTGCCAAATTTCTGATGACAGAGATGCTGAGTGGAAAGGGGGAGGTTG